GTGAATTGGAGACTTCAGTGTCCCACTGTCTGTAATGGGTAGAATCGCCAGGCAGAAGCACATCTGAAACTAATACACAATAATATTAAAGGTAAACTGTAATTGAAAATCAAAATTAAAAAAAAACTTGGCAGGAAATCAATACGGAAATAAGAGAACCTAAACAACACTATAAACCAAGTAGACGTAGCAGACATCTGTAAAACAATGCACCCCAAACAGTGTAACACCCATTTTTATCAAGTACCCATGGGACATTTTCTAGGCTAGACCACATGCTAAGCAATGAAACCTGAATGGATTTTATAAAAACAATACAAAGAACATTCTTCGCCACAGTAGAATAAAATTAGGAACCAGCAAAAAATATGAGAAACTAAGAAATGTGTGGGAATTGAGCAACATGTTCCCAAATAGCCAATGAATTAAGAACTCAAAAGGGAGACCATAACACACTTGGAGCTGAGTGAAAAGGAGGGACCGAGGAGAAAAGGACTCATCATGGACAACAGGGTGGCGACTGTGGGGGAGGGGATCTAAGGGGACCAAATGGTAGTGGAAAAGTAAAACAAAAATTTTTCAAAGTGAAGACAACATAAAAAACCTTATGAAATGTGTGCCTATATTAAGAAAGATTTCAAGTCAATAACCTAACTTTTCCACCTCAAGAGACTAGAAAACGAAGAGCAAACTAAGCCTAAAACAAGCAAAAGCAAGAAAATAATAAAAAGAGTGAACTCAGCGAACTAGATAATAGAAAACCAATAGAGAAAATGAATGAAACCAAAAACTTGTCCTTCGGAAAGATCAACAAAACTGACAAAACTTGTTTGCTAGGTTGACCAAGAAAAAAAAAAGACTCAATTACTAGACTCAGAATGAAGGAACATTACTACCAACTGTAAAAATAAAAACAAAAACATTATAAAGGAATACTGTGAATAACTGCATGCCCATAAATTAGATAAGGCGGATGAAATGGAAGAATTTCTAGAAAGACTAGAAAGCCCGACTCCAGAAGAAACGAATGATCCAAATAGACCTACAGCAAGTGCAGATACTGGATAATCAAAACCCACCCATCCAGGTGACTTCACTCCTGAATTGGACAAAACATTTAAAGACAATACCAATTCTTCACAAACCCTTCCTAAAAATAGGAGAGGGAACACTCGTTTAATGAGGTCGATGTTACCTTATACCGAAACCAGACGAAGATAAGCATAGAACACTACACACTGATAGCTTGTAGGAGTATGGATACAAAAATCCTCAGAAACTACTATCGAACCAAATCTACAACATACAAATGGGCTTTATCCAATGAAAGCAAGGTTGGTTTAAGATCTGAGAATTAAGATGATATACCACATCAATAAAATTTAAACACACACACATGATCACCCTCAATAAGTGCAGAAAAAGCTTTAGATAAAACAGTGCTCTAGGGATAGAAGGGAAGTTACTTCACCTGATAAAGGATTTCTCCAATGAACCCACAGCTAACATCATACTGAATGGTGAAAGACTGGATGCTTTCTTCCCAAGATCAGGAATATTTAGGGAGGGGGTCCATCATACAAGGTGTGCCCACCAGGAGGAAGGGGATATGGGGTGCCCAAAGGTATGCCCTTAGGGCATAGCCTCCACCCTGTCCCTGACCAAGGAAGCTGTAGTCAGGAGGGGCCTGGCCAAGGATGGTGATGTCCCTGCTCAGGAGTCCTCAGGTGTTGGGGATGGGGAGGTCTCCCCTGCCCACTGCCTTGCACACAGTGTAATCTTGAGTGAGAGGCTACCCTACAGGCAGGACAGACACAGTTCTTCTGGAAGGACCACCCAGGGGTGTCCAGCCCGCAGGCCACGTGCGGCCCAGGATGGCGATGAATGCAACCCAACACAAAGTTGTGAATTTACTTAAAACCTTTTTTTTTTTGTCCATCAGTTTTCGTTTGTGTTTGTGCATTTAATGTGTGGCCCAGAGACACCAAAAGGTCGGACGCCCGACAGTGCTGCCTCACCAACCTGATGTTTCTTAACTTCCCTGAGGATCAGAATCACCGTGGCCAGACACAGCCCCATCCCAGATCTGGGAGGCCTGGCGCCTAGGATATTCAACAGGCCCCCACTAGAGCTTTGTGTGGAAGGAGCTGTGGAGCCCATGTGACCCAGCATTCCCTCCCCAGTGTCGACTCCCAGCCCCTCACAGGGGAAAGTTTCAGGAGCAGCCCTCACAGGATGGAAGGTTCCCAGGGACCTGCATGCTAAATTCGAGGGCAGGGGTGGTGGTGGTGGTGGGACGGTGTTTTCAAGAGAGCCTGGGGACACCAGGGTCTGTTCTTGAGGAGGTTGCCAGCCTCAGCCCGGGCTCTTCTCATGTCCAGCCTGCACCCAAACCATCCTGCTTAGCCTCCTTCCTGCCAACCTGCTTGAATGATGTTTATTTTTCACATTCATAGGAAGAGGCCAGTCCTTTTCTCAGCAAACGCAGGGAAAGGAGGCTGTGCCAGGTTCTCATCTGGCCAGATCTATCTGCAGTGACAGGAACCCAAGCTGTGTCCGGAGCAGAGAGGGATGGAATCTCCAGATTTGAACATTCTGATCAAGAAAATCGCAACACTATGCAAACAATAAGAAATTGCACATGTAAACAGGCTACTGAGGCTCATGTAAGATTATAATTGTCATCTAAGCCCCGAAATTTAATCTTTAATGTTCACCAAAACTGCCTTTCATTGAATTTGAATAAATGTGATAAATTTGAACTAGAAATAAAAAGAAAAACCCTGAAATAACAGCAGTCAAACCCAGGAGCTTCATGGGACAGAGAGGGGGGCATTCCTAGAGTTTCCCAGGAAGAGGCTGCAAACAGTGTCCAGGGCCTCAGCTGGTGTGTGAGGGCAGAAGGGCCCCTTTTGCCTTGGAGACTCGGATGGGGCCTTGCAGAGTGGAGCTGCAGGGAGAAGCTCCCAGACTCACGGAACTCCATGGGGTGCCATGCTGTGGATTCAAACCACCTGCAAGGGAGACATCCAGAGTAGGGCCCCAGGGCAACGGAAAGCTAACTTCCCTTGGTGGCTGTGTAAAACAGGGTCTGCTTGGAACAGGGCCAATGGCAGGGAGAGGATCTAGAATGGTGGGTGAGAGTCAGCTGGCAGAGGCCCCTGGTGCTGACCCCAGGGCCAGAGAAAGTGAGGAGGGCAGGGGGAGCCCAGACCTGTCCAACCCCAACCCCACCCCCCCGACCCAGCGGGAAAAGGCCAGGGAGGAGGGAGAATGGCCCAGGGCTCAAGCATTCGGAGGTCTTCAGGGAGGCAAGGATGGGGCGTAGGGAATCAATGTGTGGGAACCTGAGGCCAAGGGTTCCCCTCCCACGGACATGAGATGAAGTTTCTTCCTCTCAGTGGCAGGAAAGTCTGTCAGTTGTGTTGCCCAGACTTGGGGCAGGGACAACAGTGAATGCTGCGGCGGTCCACTGTGGTTGAGGGTGGTGGTCCCTGCAGGCTCCAGAGCCTTCAACAGCAGTTGTAAGTGCTGGGCCATCAAATGGGATCCTCTGCTCTGCTTCAGTCTCTGCCCCGAGAGCCACGATGCTGCGGTCAGGGTCATCCTTTGGGCCACTGTGGTCCAGTGTTGTGGAATAAACTCATGAACAGATGGGGCACAGAATTCGGTGTGGCTGATCTGGGTCATGAGGGAAAACACAGCCTGGGATGACAGAGGTCATTTAAAACGCAGTCTCCTTTGCAGGGACCTGATTCTCCCTGGGGATGCCTGAGGCAGCACCCAGCAGGCCATGTGGGGACCATCACCACTCGTTCATGGAACTGGACAGTACCTCTCGGTAGGAGCAGGTCCCTCTCAGTTGAGGGCAGGTCAGAGGAGGAGGATGGACGTGTTACAACCTGGAGCTCACCATAGTTCCGTAGTCGGTGCAAGGAAGCCCCCAGGACTCTCTGAGGGTGGCTGTGCAGTGCTGAGGAACAGCGTCTCTCCCGAGGGTGTGAAGCGCCGGATGGTGGCCCCGGAGGTCTACTCACACTGGAGTCCTCCTGAACAGCTCCCAAACTGGCTCGCATCTCTCCACCCCTGACCCTCATCCTCCAGAGATGCCGTCTCCGCTCCCGCCCTCCTGCTGGAAAGCCCTGGAGCAACCCCTGCCCTAGTGGTTAGGCCGAGCTCCTTTGGCCCTTTACCCTCAGCTGCCCCAGCTTTGGGGGTCCCCACTCCCTGCTGTGCCCCCGCCCAGCACACCCCTGGCTGCGTCCCGTGCACACCGCGGTAGGCATCTCCCCAGGAACAGGCGCGAGGGGCTCCTCCCCCGCAGGGTTTGCATTTCCCCTAGGGTGCTGTGCTGCTGCACCTGTTGAGCCAGAGGCTGTCTGGGGGGCCCTAAGGGACAGATCAGCCCCGCGCGGGAACGCGGAGCTAGAGTTTTCCCGGAGGGGCAGCTCGCCCAGCCCAGCCACATTCCACAGGGGGGCGGGGGCGGTCTTCTGAAATGACAACCACCACCCAGCCTTCTCTGTTGAGTCTGAGGCCAGGATCCAGCGTCCAAAAGGGGCCACTGATAACGTGAGACCAGCTCGCTAGAGAGCAGTGACAACGCCCCCATATGTCCCGCAGGAACAACGCGGGGCCGGAGCCTGAGTGGGGCGGGGCCGAGCCTGCAGCGGAGCGGATCCCGGAGAGCTTAGTTCACTGCGGACCGAGGTCCTGGCCCGTCCGTTACCGTCACGAATCCGCTGGGACCAATAGCGACTTCCCTGCATGGCTATTGGTCCAGGGAAGGTTTCAGGACGCCAACCGGACCGGAAGTTCCTGACCTGAGCGGGCGGGCGGAAAAAGCGCAGGGAATGTCGTCCTACACCGCGCTTTCTTCCCGGGTCCGCTACTCCACGCTCCACCCCTCCCCTGCCCCGCCCCGCTCCGTCCACTACGCGCTTCTCATCCCGCCCCGCCCCTCCGCGCCCCCGCCCCGCCCCTCCGCGCTCCCCGCCCCGCCCCTCCGCGCTCCCACTCTGCTCCGTACCCAACAGGCTTCTCCTCCCGTCCAGTCCCTCCGTGCCCGGCCCTCATCCAAACGTTCCCCTCCCCCCGACCTTCGCACCCGCCCTGGCAACTGCAGCATTGAGGAAAGCCGGGCCCCCTGCACTTGACTCCTTTTCCCAGTTTTGCAGGTACGTATTTCACTTTTATTTCGCGTTTAACGGCTACGGAGACTTGTCACAGTACTTTTATTTAATGCAAATACAAGCGATCAGCGTTTTAATGAAGCTGTGTCCTTCAATAAAACAGAAAAAGAGGTGGGTAAGATTAATCTGCATTTTCCTGGAAGTGATTTTTAATATTAGTAAGTTGATTAATTGAGACTTGATTTATTTGAATCCGTGGATGCAAAAACATAACAGTTCAGCTTTCCAAATACACCGACTTTACGAGCAGCACAAACAAGTCAGGAACGACATTCGCCAACAGACCAGACACATCAGCAGTGACCCATCCTCTCACAGACAGGGAAGGAGACGGAAGAGACGAAGCTACTTGCAGTGCACTTGTCTCCAGAGAGGCTCATCTGAAACCTTGGTCCTGAACCCCACCATCCTCCTGCAAAACACACACATGTCCCACAGATCCATCACAACGTGAGCCCATCGCAATTCCACCGAATGTGGAATATGTAGAGCCTTGATTCTCCGTTTTGATTAGTCTCAGTACTGGCTGGCTTATGAGACATTTTTCCATTTGGAACGGTTAGCATTAAATATCTACTGAGTAATTACAGCTCACTGTAGCAAAAGGGATCTAAATGAGCCAGGCTCTACAGGCTAGTGGGCCAGCATTGTCACTCCATCCAGCTACGCTAGGTTCCACTTGCACTGATGATGAACGAATTAAAGAAACGGCAGCCTTTTCGAAGGGTGGACAGAGCTTTGTAGTTTCACATGTAGTGGAGACTTAAGGAAACCACAAATACCCGATCTTTTTTTGGTAGTCAGTTTTGCTTTTTCCAGGTTGGGATTCTGAGCAGCCGTAACAGCCAGTATAGTACAGGCTTTGTGGCTGAGAACTGACTTTCCTACGTGGTATTGCCAGGAGTCCCTGGGACCGGTCAGCTAGCACGTTATGCCTAACATAGCGGAAGTGATGATAGGGACCGGTAAAGACAGCCCTTGGAAAGAGGTTTTCAATTTTTCATTCACAAAGTAAATCAAGCTTCCTAATTGCTACAACAGGGCCAGAAAGCTCAGCTCCTACTAGCCTGCAAGCCCTTTCTCTCTGCTTCCTTGTGTGACCTTCGCCTCTGTTACAGGAACAGCTTGACTGCTTTCTCTAGTTCATTCGTGTTCAAAGAACTCATGGCAGGCAGTGGTAACCATGGCAATGAAGGCCACAAATTCCTGGAAGTCACATTCGCCATCTCCGTCGTTGTCCAGCGTCTCCATGACTTTGTCCACAGCCTCCTGCTCTTTGATTTCCTAAGAGAGATCAGTCACGCAGCTTGTTTTTAAATGAAATTTAAGGCCATCAAAACACGATTCAAAGTTGGTTGGTTTTAAAAATCTGTATCAGGAATCACCTAAGGTGTAAAATACCAAATACCAGAAAGACCTGCTGTGACCCGGGCGGGGACTGTTGGTGGGGGATCTGTGCTTTCTCTACCTTACTTTAGCTGCTTGTAAAGACTGAATGGAGCACCGAGATCTGAAAACCTGCAGTTGTCAGCACTACACTTTAAACAAAACACCCGGAAAACAAGAATAGCATCTCAGTCAGCCTCCGGAGAGTGTTATAGGCAAATGTCTTGAAAGAAAAAATGAACTTTTGCCCCCCCCTACATTTTTCAGTTTCTATGTGTGGAAGTCCCTAAAGTGAGGGCTTCCATAGACTTTTGTGGTTTGAAAATGGTTTGTTTGTTTGTTCGTTTGCTGAAGTAGCTCTTGGGAGCATGCCCTAAATTTGTTAACCCTGTGTGTTCTTTCTGCCACTCGAGTTGCTTTCTAGGTGTCATGGAACTTTTCCTGATGGTTCTGCCCCACCCAGAAGCTGGGTGAATGGTTACAAAGTTCTCTGCGGAACAAACATGGTTCAGGGCGCAAAAAATGTGGCAATGAACGCCAAAGAAGAGCATCAATGCGGGGTGTTTAGAGTAACTAGCCTCCAGAGCAGCATTGTGGGCCTGAAGACGTCCGTGGCTTCTGCAATCTAGAACACGTGGAAGACTGAGATTCCGGCGGGGGCGGGGGGGGGCACCTAAAGCATCGGCCAAAAGGTGGATGGCAGCAGTGTGTTACTGCAATTACATTATAGGTTTGCCTCCAAACCAAAATTACCCTGATAAAACCAGGCCAACAGATGTTCATGATACCTTGGTACACTACTGTTGAATTGCTTATCTTTTATAAGTTGGGGTTACCACATGGTAAGCTTTTTCTATCTTTTAAAATAATAATAGCAGTTACTGGTTAACTATATGAGCTTTCACTATATGTTAAGCACTTGAAAAACACTGTGTCATTTCATCTTTACAACAAGCCTTTTTACAGAAGTAACTGGGACTCTGTTAGGTTAGAAGGCAGAATTGGTGGGACTGGATAACTAACACGTGAGCGACGCAGCGGTCACGGGGACATGCATGCCTGGGAAGCCAGTCCCGGAATCAGACGGGATGCCTCCCCCACCCCACCTCAAGCCTGCAGATCACTTCTCTTGCTCTGCTGGTGCCACTCACAGCACTGGAGTGTTTGGTGGGAGTGGGACAGGGGAGCCCCCAGGAAACCGGCAGACAGTGGGCGCTGCCCTGCTGCTGGAGCCTGGGTCTCGCCCCGCACTGAGAGGCTCAGCCGGCTGGGAGGGCAGCTCCCTGTCACTGCCAGGGTGCTCTGGTATCCTCCTCGGAATTAGCTCCTGGTCACCCATTAGTGCACTGGTTCGTTGGCCGGCCTGTTCCCCTCTGTGTGATTAGTCACGGCAGTGACCTCGGTTCTGGGCGCTAAGGGAAGGGCAGGTACCAGGTAGACTGCAGTTCACTGCCTTGGGGGCACAAGACTGACGTGCAGTAGAGACGGTGGGTGGCTGATCCAAGGGCAGGCACCGATGGGTAGGGAAGTGAGTCCTGGGTGAGGCCTCGGCATCCGTTCACCACAGGCCAGAGCGGCCCCCGCTTGGGGAAGGAGAGCTCACCAGGAGCCTCAGGCAGCTTCCTCAGTTAGGGTCCTAACCTGCCCAGCGCCCCTTATTCCATGAAGCACCTGACAAGCCCCCTACCCCCCAGGCCTCCAATGGGGGCAGCGCCCTCACGCCCTTGGTCAGGAAGGCTGTGGCCCTTCAGTGATGGGCCGGCCTGGGTGCCTCAGGAGCAGAGAGGCCGTGTCCTCGGGCCTGTGTCTCCCGGTATTGAACTTAAGAGTGCTCAGGAGGTGTCTGCTGAGTGAGCAGAATCGTCATCACCATCGGGGATGTGAAACATCTAGCTAAGCTAAAGGGACCCTTTTCTCCAAAACAAAAGCTCATCTTTAACATCTTATAGCACCGTGGTCCCTGAAAAGTCATGAGTCTGTTTTCCATCCGTTCTGCCATCCCCGCTGTGGAGCCTTAGATTTCTCAGAGAAGAGCCAGCATTATTTGGGATGTGGACTTTTGCCTTTGAGAGAGCACTTTTTCCTTGATGCTCCTACTAGACACAGAACAAATGAAAAGGAAGACAGCGGGGCCCAGCTAAGCTGGCCTCCGTGGTGCGGGTTTGGTGATGCACACAAGTTCTCAGGAGCTGCCTAGGAGTCCTGGAACAGGCCTGGAATCGCCTTCCCGGCCGCTCAGAAGGGAAAGTGCACGGGTGGTTTTGTAAGTGGAGAGGAGAACGCATAAACAGTCCGTTTTAAAAAGCAGGACTCACCTCCAAAAAATGGGAAAGCTCGTTGTTGATGAGCTCCTTGAGTTCGGACTTCTTCAGCTTGTGCTTGTCGCCCTCCCTTCCGGAATACTGGTGGAAAACATCAATGAGGGCCACCACGGCCTTCTCCAGCTCAGACATCCTGGGGGTCCACAGAGGGGAGAGGCCTTCTCATGCTTTTTGCCTTGTGTTACACAGAACAGTTAACATGTTACCTGTGCAGACCTCCACCCGGAGGAGGGGGCTGGGCCAGCCTTGGGGCATCTCCCTTGTCTGGCTTAGAGCAGGGCATTCTGGGAACTTGCTGGGCTGTCACCGCTCTCTCATCCACCTTTTAGAGCGGATGCTCTTCCCCGGTCCCTTCTCTGTTCCTGTCTGCCACCTTGATGAGTTCCTAGGCCCTCTGGCTTCTCTGGTTGGGTTTGGCTAATGGGAAACTTCAGCAAAAATATGGAGGCAGGGCAGGAGGGAGTGCTGGGATTGACCCCTGCCTCCCCCTGGGGCCACCCTCTGCCCTGGCAGGGCTCCCAGGCAGTAACAGAACGGGCGAGCAGAGCGGCAGCTGCAAGCTGTTCGATTCAACAGGAAGAGGTAAGGTGACGAGCCAGAGGAGGGTACAAACATCAGTATTATCTTTGTACCCTCTTGATAAACAGCTGGAAGACGGGAGAGCCCCGTTCATACAGCAGCACGTACACGTTACTAAGAGTAAATTTAGTATGAGAAGTACAGCTCCTTCCAAAAGATTTTAAGGATCATAAAACAGGAATTTGCTTTCTTTTGAATTAATGTATAAATTTGACTCATTTTAAATACAAATCTTTACTGGAAAAATAAATATGGTAGAATTGCCACATTTTTTTTAAAAGAAGATCAATGAAAAGTACATTGATGAACCAGAAGCAAAAATGTATTTTCAGGTTATAAGTTAAGCTGGTTCCGCTATGGGAACAGGTGTGTAGGAGGCACCACCGCCAGGTGCTGACTCAGGCGAATGGGGGGTGTCGCTTCTTCACTCCCAGGTGTTCCCGTGCAGCCGTCAGGGTCAGAAACGGCCCACTCCCCTGCACGCACACCCGATACCAGGGCCTGTGTCCCGAACAAACACCTGCCCCGTCCCGGGGGTTAGGGCACATTTTACGAAGGGTAGTTTTCAATTGTTTCACAAAACTGAGACACAGGAGAAATTTACCAACTTTTGACCTTGAATTCTTATTAAAGAATGTTAGCACTATAATAGTTAAGAAAAAAAGACAAGAATTACATCAAATTGTTGAAAAATCATTCCCATGCTGAATGTCACATCTTAAAAATAACTTGAAGTAAAACATTTAAAATTGTATTTATTTCTGCCTTCCTAAGGGACAGAGAGTTCAGGATGTTTGTCTTGGCCTGGTCTTTGCTGGAGTCGTGCTGTTGATTATCAGTCCGCTTTGCTTTGCTCCGAAGTCCCTAATCATTGGATACATCAGATGTAGATAGAGCGATTCAGATGGATTAAAATCTTTAACATTTCCTACTTTCTTTTCCTTTGCACTCAAGTTTCAATTATTGATTTTTTTTTAAAGAAACAAAACAACCCTGGCCAGGTAGCTCAGCTGGTGACAGCATCATTCCGCTGTGCAGAGGGTGCCGGCTGATGCCAGGTCAGGGTAGAAACAAGAATCAACCAATAAATGCGTAAATAAGCAGAACGACAAATTAGTGTCTCCATCTTTTTCTTTCTGTCTCTGTCCTTTTCTCTCTCTAAACTCAATTTAAAAAAGAAACAAAAACCCCCAAAACTTTTACATTATCCTGATGCTTCTCAAAGTCCATGATGATTTGGGGAAGAGGAAGGAAAATTATTTACTTTTCGTGGAAAAATATGACCAGTGAGATTTTTAAGAAGGGAGACAAAACATTCTTCATATATTTTAAAATTCCATAAAACGTGGTTGTCTTCATAGCCATACTACAAGTTAATTAAAACAATTTTCCTGTTAAATTATTCCCTTTGACTAAGAAACAATTGATGGTTTAAAGCTTATCTTTTAAGAGAAATGGAAATGAAATATCCATGTTTCCTGTTCACTTCATTCTGTGAATGTTATTCCTGCATCAACTAGCCTCTTACTCCTGCATTACTCTCTATATGTCAAAACCAAGAGAGATTTTGGGCTTTTACTTCTTTTTTTTAAGATTTTATTTATTTATTTTTAGAGAGGGCAGGGAGGGAGAAAGAGACAGAGAGAAACATCAATGTGCGGTTGCTGGGGGCCGTGGCCTGCAACCCAGGCATGTGCCCTGACTGGGAATCAAACCAACAACCCTTTGGTTCGCAGCCTGCGCTCAGTCCACTGAGCTACGCCAGCCGGGGCTGGCCTTTTACTTCTTAGAAGGACACATCACACATGATGTGATGGTCCCCTGAGAAATGATAAGACTGATGACAGTTAAACTCACCATAAACCCTGAATTCTTTGACTCGTTTATAATTTATTTGCAAAGCCCTCTCAGTTCCCGTGGGAGTTCAGACTGGTGCCCAGAGGACCCTGACATCCCCCTTTGAGAGGAACGGGAACAGTGAGAGGCAGTCCTGGCCCGGGGCCAAGACAGGCGCAAGGAAGAGAGAAAATCTGTATCTGTAAGATAGAGCTACATAGCATCAGGTTGCCGCCACCCTCAGTCCTGAAGAAGCAAAACCCTCCTCTTCAAAGAGGGAAGAGTCAATATTTGCGGCACTTCTGGGGAAATGTCAGCAATCACCTCTGAGCCCCAGACGGCGGTTCTCTGATGTATGGTAACAAAAAACACGGGCAAAGGGACCCTCCAGCTGCCACGGGCTAAGGCGGTCGTGTCCCCTACGCAGCAGTAAGATCCATTGTAGCACTTTAGAAATGCTGCAATGATCCTGAAGGATCTTTTTAAACTACCGCCCAGCTCTCCAACCCACCCTCCGAGTCCCCTGCCCCCTCCCCCCAAAAAGCAGGGTGCCCCCCCTCACGTTGTGATCTCGGTCGCTGGCTCTTCGTGGTCACCTCCTGGCTGCAGCGTCCTGCGTGGCAGGAGAGGTGGGCAGGGGCAGCCTTTTATCCCTTCCTCTGGGCGTGGGCCCCTTGTGCAGTCCCACTGCAGGCCCAGGCGGCCAATGGGGGCTGAGGGCCGAGTGGGGAGGGGGGCTGGGGCAGCCAGGCCGGCACACAGGGCTGCATTGACCGAGCTGCCACCCGGGGCCTGCGCTGGGGCCAAGGAAGAAAACTGCCTGTGGGGCAGGAAGTGAGGAGTCAGCTTTTGTGCTATTTTTAATTTATACATGAATATTAATGGTCTTCTAAAAGCAAGGTTGGGGGTGGGAAGAGTAGAGAGCCGGATTAATTGATTCAAACAAAGCAAATGTTCAGCCAAGAACGCGGAGCGTCCAAGTGCAGGCTGGCCCACGCTGTTTTCCAGTGCAGAGGCCTCCGAGCTCCCTCCTGCCGCCAGCTCCCCCAGCGTGGCCCCCAGCAGCAGGCAGCATGCCTGCGGACATCTGCACCCCGAGCTGAGCAGGGCTGCCTCGAGGAGCCGCCGCGCCCGGCACCTGCAAGGACTGAACTGCCTGGTAAAAAACTACCTGATGCATTTCGGGGGAAATCCTTGTTTAATGTGGTTGAGGGCACCAGCCGGGCATTCTGCAAGGACGAATGCTTGCGGACTTTCAGACCCGGACAGTGCCCTGAGACCCGGCCTGTCCGAGCACCCTTCTCCGCAGAGCCACAGGTTCTGGGCCTCACCGAGACTGAGGCCGCACAGCAGCCACGGGAAAGCCAGGCCCAGCCACCCTGTCGCTCGTCTTCTGTGGCACCTTACCTGGGATATTTCCAAGCAGAAACCCAAAAGGCAGGCACTCCTTCAGACAATTATCCAACAGACATCAGCTCCAAAGTCATCAGAAGGTGCCGGGACCCGAATCAGGGCCTTCTGACTCAGGTTCACGGTGGCCATGGAAGGACCCAATGGCACAAAGATGCCTGTGGACGCAGTGGCTTTGTTGTCATCTGTTTTACCAGGGACTTCTTGTCTGTTCAACACCCAGAGTGTGGCCTGGAACGGCACGGGGCTGTTAGCCTCGGGACCTGAGTGGTCCCAGCCTGGACCCCCGGCCTGGCTCTTACCACCATCAACTGTGGGAGGGAAAACGTGAGCCCGGTTTACACGTGGGCCTGCAGGCGGTGCCGGCGCCTGCCCCGACGGACAGAGGCAGCACTGCGGCCCCGCTGAAGGTGACCCTGCCAACGTGGGGAAGGGAGGTCCTCTCGGGGGCTGAACTTCGGGCAGCACGCTGGGCTGTCCACTATGTCTGGAGTGGGAAGTGGCCAGTATATGGATGTGCATTCATTCTGGAGAGGCTCCTAGTATTTGGCCCACAACTTGGAAGGAACAGGGTTGGAAGCCTGGCTCTGGGAGAGGTGTGTAGACGGACCCCTGCATGAACACCATGTGCACACACTGTGTTCCCAGTGAAGCCCACCCACGGGCTCATGCTGCAGAAGAGGCCCTGGATGGTCAGGTGCACGGTGACAGACCCTCTGGGGCCAGACCCAGACATGTCTTGTCCACGTACTCTGTTCAGCCGGCTCTGGCTGCCACCAGTCCAGGGCTCGCTCCGAGTGTCCGTGAGGGAAGTGACCACGTGGCAGGCTTGGATGTGTACACGGGCCCAGCATCGTGGCCTTCCCTCACCAAAGCTGACCTGGCTGCTTGCTGCTGCCACTGCTCAGTGCCTGAGCTGCCAGCAGCCAAGACCAGCGTCGAGTCCTGTGGGGACCAGCCAGACGCCTGGTGGCAGGTTGGTTTCACCGGGCCTTTTCCATCATAGAAGGGGCAGAGATCTGTCCTCCTGGGAACAGGCATATATTCTGGGTATGGATTTGACTTCCCTATCTGTCCTGCTTCTGCTGGCACCGGCATCAGTGACATCACAAAAGCCTGGAATGGCCTTCTGGACAACGTGGCATGTGATCGGGAAACTCATTGCAAACAAAGGAAGTGCAGCAATGGACTCAGGCCCATGAAGTTACGTGGTTTTATCACACGTCCCAACACTCAGAAGTGGCAGGCCCACTTGACAGGCGGAATAGCTTCCTGAAGAGCCGGTGACAGTGCCCGGTGGGAGGCAGCCTCCTGAAGGCGCGGGGTTCTACATCACAGGATACAATACATGCTTCGAACCCGGGGCCATAGTGCGGGGTCGTGTCCCCACAGCCAGAATGCCCCTCTCACGGGTACACCTGCAGAAATCTCGTTTTTTGTCGGGGCACTTTGAGATGGTTTGGAGAGCTTGGTCTCCAGAGGTCAGTGCTTCCACCAGCTGTCACAGCTGTGGTTCCACTGAACTGCCACCTGGCCGCTTTGGGCTCCTTATGCCTCTGAATCAACAGGCAAAAAAAAAAAAAAAGGTGAATCTACTGGCTTGAGTGATGGATCCCAGTTACCAAGGGCGATGTTGGGTTTCTGCAACACAGTGGAGGCCAGGAGGGTTATGGTGCCCAATGGCATCTGGGAAATTGGGGCATCTCTTACTACTTTCATGACCAGTGGTAAAGGTTTATGATAAACAGCAGCAACCCAAAAATAGAAATACAGCAAGACTATTGAAAACTCGGGGCCTTCAGAAATTAAGCTTTGGGTGACTCTACTCACTAAGGGACTCAGAGTGGGATCTTGCTGAGAGGGCCAGGAAGCTTCGGGATGGACCAGCCATGATGTCGCTGACCTGCAGTCTTGCTGCCCGTCACGCAAACGAGGGCTGTCTGCACGTGCTCTGCTTGTTATCTGCATGTGTTGATTCACTAACCATTTTCTTCTCCCCAGTTTTTATTTCATAAACAAACTGTCGGAGGCTGGCATTTCAGTTTAATCTTCAGGTAACTGAATTTTCAGAGGAGTGGGTATAGCGGTGGGTGCGTGACTGCTGGGGCTGTGTGTCTCCTCACTTGGGGGCGAACTTCTTCACTTGTCACGAAGACAGCTGTGTCTTTTTAGGGAGAGACATAGCATTGTTTACTTGTTGCAAGGCAGTCCAAATGTGTGTAGAATGTTGCTCATGGATGCTGGGTGGCCAAAGGGTGGACAGTGCCCCCTGTAGATTCATTGCCTCTTGGGTCCGAATCTCTGCTTCAGCACCTGCATGGCGTTCACCGACTGGACTCTCTAATCGCAGATCCTGGCAGTGGCCGTGATGGGAAGTTTTGTAGTGAGGGCGTCAAAAGGGGCAAGGGGCTTCCTTCCATGGTTTGCCCCTTTGTCTCACTCCTCCTTCACAGTCCTGCACAGCATCCAGTGGTGCTCTGCACCAGCCACACGTCCAGCGAGGGCAGTGCTTGGTGACCTTGCAACCTGGCCTGGGTGGGCCCAGGGGCCATTTCACCCTGATTCTCCTGACATGGGCACAGCACGCTCCAGAACTTGCATTCACACCAGCTCCCCACGCTGTCGGCATGTCCACCCCCCAGCCACAGCCTGCCTGTGCCCTGGAGGGTGTTTCTCGTGACCTCCCTGGTATGGTCACTGCGAAGCCCAGGCTCCCCTTCACAGTGGCACCCCAGCCCCCTGCGTGCTCCGCCCCCAGCCTGGGCTCACCTGGCCTCTCCGGGGTTGTGTCAAGCACTGGGAAGGGCTGCACTTCTACGCTGCTTGCAAGCTAACCAGTCGGCCTGTTCTCGTTTCACCCATGCTGGCAGGAGGCATGAGGTTCCCGGGCCAGAGTTTACTCGCAGAAGAACTGGGGGTCAGAGCTGCTCTTTCGAGCTGGTTCCCCTAGTCCCCGGCTGCGGGGCAGATGGGCCTGGATGAGGGTGTGCACATGCGGGGCCTGTGTCCTAGGAGGGCTCGCTGAGCTGGGGGCGCTGCTGCCTCGTCCTCCTTCCTCAGGATCGTTCCCTGCCCCAGCCTGGAGAAAGCGCTGCAGAAAGCGCCTGCAGAAAGCGCTGGCCTGCAGAAAGCGCTGCAGGCGCCTGGCCTTCTCGGCGTCCACATTACTGGGCAGTACCGTGCAGGACGCCAGGGCCGTGGCAGCGGTCTGTCCCAGCAGGCCCTCCCACTGCACCCACCCGCGGACCAGCTCTGGCGCAGGCAGCCTGCGGACTTCTCCAACACGCTATGAAGCCCAGGCTTGGGAGGGGGGGTGGGGGGGGCGGGCTTCTAAGTCTGTTTCTTCCTTGGTTATTCTGTCTCATCCGCAGTCTACCCTTTAGGTTTGTCCGTGTAGTCACCATCCTGTCACAGTTTTGTAATTTTTTTATGTTACACTTGCCCTGGTCAAAGCGCTAGGGGGTTTCTGTCTCTTGATTGGACCCAGACTGACACATCAGGCAACAACAACAATAAAATAAAAGGGTTTATTAAGTTTTTACTATTCTTCTGTTGGTCTAAAATGATTTCAAAATAAAAAATTTAGCCCTGGTGGGCGGCTCGGTTGGCTCAGGCTGGAGCATCGTGCCGTACACCAACAGACTGCGGTTTCAATTCCCAGTCAGAGCCACCCCTGGATGGCGGGTTCGATCCCTGGCCCGGGCGCGCAGGGAAGCAGCCTATTAATGTTTCTCTCCCACACCAGTGCTTCCGTCTGTCTCTCCCTCCCTCTCTCTCTAAAACCAGTGATAAAATAAATATCCTTGGGTGAGGATTGAAAAATAAGAATAAATTAAAACATTTAAAAAATCTTATATGAAAAATGTCAACTTAGCAGCAGAAACAAAATGGAAGAAATCAAGAGTGCTGATGCTGAAATCAACAGTTACTTTTTGAATATATAAAATCCCCAAACTGATGTACTATGGTTTTTTTGTTTTTTATTTATTTTTATTATTATTTTTTTACCCAACAAACCACTCTGGACACCAAATGTGTGTTTTTTTTTTCTTTGCATCGACCGATTTTCCTGCACCAGCAGGCTGTGCTGCAATTCAGTGCAATCCTGATGTTCCTGGCTCGTACCTGGAGTTCCTGCCGCCCCCACAGGTTAGGGGCTCAGTCCCACAAGACCACCGCCCCCACTTCAGACGTCGGTTGCAAGTCCCAGGCCACATGTACTTCTGATTGATTGCCTGTAAATTGAGGCTTCCCATGACCCCCTCCTCAGGTTCAGTAATTTGCTAGAATGGCTCACAGAACTCAGGG